AAACTATCTATTTAAAAATGCTTTAATGATTCCTTCTGCATACATTGGCTGCAGCTCCACTTATTTGAAATGGCTCATTTATCACTAAAAGAGCTGCAGGGCACAGCTTCTGTTGAACTGCTCCAACAAACCTACAGCTTAGTGGGACAGGCTTCTTTTTAGAAAACTAAAAGATATTCAGAACATGCCAAGTAGAAGATGCCAACGTACAGGGTTCCCCCACCCCCAAATGTTCCTAAATTAAAAAGTTACCAAAGGGGAGACTAACAACAATAATAAAATCATCAAAATTATTGTTCCTTACTAGGAATTAGACTAGAAATAACGTATCTCACATGTTATTATTTTTAAAAAAAATAATGATGTATACTAAATGTATACTAAATGTACTTGTCAGCTTATCAGTGGGAATATTTGTGATAGCCACAGGCAAAACCTGACTGAAACACACAGTTGTTATTGCAACAGAAGTTTCATGGAATATTTGTCATGTCTGTTATAGTTTGTTTATATATATATACATATACATACATACATACATACATACATACATACATACATACATAATATACATACATACATACATACATACGAATTTTTATTATAATAGCAAAATCTAATGCAAACTAAACCTAAAAAAAAGAGAAAAGAAATATATTTCAAGGAAAAATAAAAATAAAGAGAGTCAGCCTAGACATAATAGAATATTACGAGGCACATCCAGAAAAACAAATGGTACTGGTTTTCCTTGATGCACAAAAAGTATTCAACAATGTAATTTGGAAATTTATTATAACACTATTAGACAAGATGAAATTCGGAGAAAAATTTACAAAAATGATAGAAAAACTTTATAACAGTCAGACAGCCAAAGTTCTAATGAATGGAGAACTAACACAAGATCGAAATAAAAAAGGGAGTTAGACAGGGATGCCCCCTCTCTCCTTCGCTGTTTATAGTAACTCTGGACATTTTATTAAATGAAATTAGGAAGGACCAGGGAATAAAAGGTTTGAGACTCAAAAATGAAGAATATAAGACCCAAGCCTATGCTTAGTATTTGTTGATATATGCATGTGTAAAGGAGAAACAAACTAACTCCTTTCTTTAGAGGAGATGAGGTTCCATTAGAATCTAATCTGAAATGAATTCAAAAATTAGAAGAATATGGCGAAGTGGCAGGACTAAAAATCAATAAAGGCAAAACAAAATGATAACCAAGAACATGACAAAAAAGCAAGAAGAGGAACTGGAATTAGCAACTAGAACGCAAATAATTAAGAAAGTGAAATACTTGGGGATCTGGGTGTTGGCAAAATGTTCCACAATTAAAGACAATAATTATAATAAACTAGTGACACAAATAAAGAAAGATTTAGAAAGCTGGAAAAATATTCAGCTATCATTAATGGGACATATAGCAGTCAAAATGAATATTTTATCAAGAATCTTATTCTTGTTGCAAACCGCATCAATTAACCTGGGTAAAACTTTCTTTCAAGAATTAAGCAAAATAACCACTAGATTCATTTGGCAAGGACGAAAAGCGAGGATTAAACTAAAGTCAATGCAAGACAGCAAGGAGAGTGGAGGTTTAGCACTTCCAAATTGGGAATTATATACATTAGCAGTAACAATAACATGGGTGAAGGATTGGATAGAGTTAAAGAATAAAAGAATTTTGATTTTAGAAGGCCATGATTTGCAAGCAGGCTGGCATACATTCCTATGGGGTGATAAAAATAAAACGCACAAATACTTTCAAAAACATTTAATTAGAAGAATGTTATTGCAAAAATGGCTCAAAATCAAAAAAATCCACTGTGAAAATCCCGAATTGGCTATCACCGACAGAAAGGACAATCCATCCAAATTTTATAGATATGAACAAAATGCTAAGATACAGAGACTTAATTGACAGGGAAATTTAAAAACAATTGAAAGTATTT